GACCGAAAAGCTGTAGATTTTTCTTGTTTGCACAAATTAATTCAGATTCACATTAATTCATTTCACAGCTCCAACAAAATGAGGAAGAGGAGGGAGAAAAACAATTAGATTGAATTACAATTGGGTGGAAGTCGAGGACAAGGAGAAGGAAACAGGAAAGTCGTCTGCATAGAGGAAAACTGTAATAGCAGGCTTGTACAAAGTGAGGCTTTGTGCTCACATTTGCTGCAAACACTCGTTTTACCCTGTTTTGATGCAGAATTCAGTTGAAATCAGGCAAGAACTGGACTTGTTTTTTATAATGAACTTTTGCTTAACTATGTAATATCAGTTTGCTACTTCAGTATAACATCACCGTCACCCTTAATGCCTTAATTTGAATGTTTCCAAGAAAAAAGGTTAAAAATATTTAACCAACTGAAAAACCTACAGGCAGACGTTGTTTTATTATAAGAGACTCACTGGCCTGTCACAGGTTTGAATGAACTTAAAACACCTGAGTTTCCTAATGTGTTTTCAGCCTGTTATCATTCTAGACAAAGAGGAGTAGCAATTTTAATACAGAAAAATATTAATTTCACAACATTCGACACAGTTATAGATCCAGAGGGCAGATTCCTAATCCATAAACTATCTATACTTAATCAAAAGCTATGTATTGTAAGTTTATATGGTCCAAAGGTTGATGACCCTCATTCTTCCACAGATTTTTTAGTGCACTTTCTGAACACCTAGATTGCACACTTGTTCTTGGGGGCGACCTCAAACTGGGGTTAAATGAAGAAATCGATAGGCTCAATACAGCAGGAACTCAGTGCAATTGGCAATCCACAAATATAATCAAACAGTATATAAGCAACCTTGGTCTTTTCGATGCATGGCATTCCCTTCACCCAACAGTAAGGAATATACTTTCTTTTCACATGTCCATCACTCCTACTCTCGCCTGGATTATCTCCTAGTCAGCAGCTCACTGCTGAGTGACATTTCAGACACTGAGATTCACCCTATACAGGGCTCGCAAAATTCCCTTCTACTGCAACGAGCCGGTCTGCTTGCCTCCACCCCAGAGAGAAGGGTTACATCTCCTGGGTCTAGGTACGGTTTGCCCCTCTGGGGGCAGGGTACCAGGACCTGGGATATAGAGTATGTTTGTGGAGTGTGAATGTGTGTACATTTGTGTCTGTCTCCACGTCAGGTGAGCACCGAGTATTTGTTTGTGTATATGGGGGTGGAAAGGCACGTTTGTGTCTGCGTGCGCCTGTTCATCTGTGTCTATATGTCAGGTTGGGTCTTAGACTCCACCCGTCTGGGAACATCTCAGGCTCTCCGAGGTATAGAGACTTATCTCCCCTCACCACACTCCCTGCCGGTGACTGATGCCCTCAGACATTGGTGTGTTGGTGGCTCTTGGTGTCTGGGGCTGGGTGCTCATATATGTACCGCCTCACTCTTGGTGGCCGATTGGTGGGGTCTGGCGCCTGTGGCCCGGCTGGGCCCCTTCCGGGGTGTGGGTTGCCCTCAGGCCTCTGGCCTCTGGGCCTGAGGCTTGGTCCTCTCTGGCACAGCCGGCTGCCGGCAGAGCCTGCAGGCACATCACTGCAACCCCCTCTGGCCTCTGCTCTGTGGCTGCTGGGTGACCTCTCGTTTGGGCCGTGACTTCTCAGAATAGAACCAAGGGGGGAGCAGATATAAAGAAAAGAGGAGGGTGCCTAGAACTGAGCCCTGTGGTACACCACACAAGAGAGCAGCGGAGGATGACACATGGTCACAGAGACTGACACAAAAAGTTTGCCCCACCAAGTAGGACATGAACCACTCCAGCGCAGTTCCTAATGCCCACCCAGTGCTCCAAACAACAGAGTAAAATGGCATGATCCAGTGTATCAAACGTAGTTGTCAAATCTAAAAGCACAAGAACAACATAGTTCCCAGCGTCAGTAGCTAAAAATATGTCATTAAAGCTTATTCAGTGCTATGAAAGGGTTTAAAACAAGATTGAAAAACCTCTAAAACATTTTGCTTTCCCTGGAAGGTCATTCATTGGCTGTAAACTATCTTTTTAAGAATTTTGGAAAGAAAAGGTTTGGAGATGGGCCTGTAATTTGCTAGAGTCATTGGATCAAGAGCAGGTTTTTTAATCAGGGGTTTGACTACAGCATGTTTAAATTTTTCCAGGGACTACACCTGACATCAAACTGTGGTTTACCAGCTCGAGAACCAAAGGTCCAACTGTAGGTAACACCGCTTTTAAGACTCGAGGAGGGACAGCATCATTTGGAGACCCTGCAGGCTTAGAACGACCAACAGTCTCCTTTAAAGAGGACAGAGTGGCTCAAACCTGTCAAAGACAGCAGAGCAGGGGTCATGAGCACAAGGACAGATTTGGGCCCTGGTGGAGGAGACCTTCTCACTACAAAGTGTAAAAAATTTTCACAGGCTTCAGACGAGGGGTCCATACAGTCAGTACGTGGTGCACAAAGAACAGGATTAGTGGTTTAATAAAACACGCAGCTTGTGGCAGTTTGACAGAATATGTCAGATACGCCCAGCTCGACAGCACTCACGTGTGACAGCTCGGGTCGTGTCGTTCAGCCAGGGCTCAGATTTAGTTTTAGGGTGCCTGGTTTTAATGGAGCCACGATGTCCAAAGCAGTCTGGCAGGTGGAATGAAACCATGAGCTTAGTTTCCCAGTCTGGCTGTATAAAAACTCCAGGTTAATTACCTTCTTTTTTCCGGGAAGAAAAGCAAGGTAATTAACGAGGAGCAACACATAAATTTTTTTAAAAACAAGACATATTCAATATTGCATGAAGAACGTTCCAGCCAATGGAGTGTTGTTGATAAAGTTCTTCTCTGTGATTGGTGACTCCATGACCACCAGTACAGTGAGAAGAGGTTTAAAAGTCCCAGACAGCATTCACTGCAAGCTGAATGACAGCAATGGCTCATCTGAAGTTCCTCCTTCTCCTTTTGTGGGTTGGTGAGTCAACAACAGCACTTATTTCGTATGTGTGTGTGTTTGTTTTTAAAAACTGTTCCTCGGGTAATCAGATATCTGCGTTAACCAAGTTTTGCTGTCATGGTTCCAGGTTTCTGTGAGTTTTTTGTTTGTTTTTTTAATTATTAGAGATTTTTTTCATTTCAGGAGACTTTTTACAGCTTTTCTTTTAAAAGCTCGTTGTCTGGTCCCAGTGCTGCTATCAGGGACTCTGAGCTGTGTGAAAGAAATAGCACGTTGTGCCTCACCACCGTAGTATTGCAAACCATGCCAATCCTTAAAGTATAACACTGCACAGACATGGATCATTACTCTGCTTAGATGAGTAGATTTATTGATAATGACTGATATGAAATGTAAGAGATGTGAAAGCCTTTTTTTTACATTTAAATGTTTTTAATGATAACTTTATTAGATGTTTTGTTTTGTGTTTATTTTTTGTGGGGTTTTGTGGGGATTTTTCTTTTGGTTTTGTTTGGTTGTTTGTTTTTTTTACGTACCTCACACCAAATACGAATATAAAGAAATATGTGTGAACTTTTCAAATTTAAATCTAAATTCAAATTCTCATCTATATGGTGGTGCAAAAGATGTTTTACTGCTTGGCAAATATCACTTAAGTAATCCCTTTAATATCAATTTTCAAACATTGTCTAGCAATGTGAAATACATCTCTGTCTGAGACTAGTGGAACTCAAATGGGTTTTAATCTGTTTTAAATGAAAGGTCTCCCCACCTGCAACATCACAGTGTGCAAAATGCTGCTTCTTCAGATATCAGTGGCTCAGCGTCTGGAGTGTAGGTATGAGTAGATTGGACTGAGGCAGCTAAGCCTGAGCCAGAGGTTTAATGTCTTATCCTGGCAGCAGTCAGGGTAAGTGATTTAGTATTTATATGTACAAACCGGAGCCAGCATCGATTACACGGTGGCTACAAAAGAACAAAATATTTCTGCTAGAATAGAAAGAAGTGAGCTAACTAATACTGGAAAGTCAAACTTATTTTATTGGACTTTGCTACGAGTTTAATTCCACCTGTCTCTCTTTTCTTTTTGAAACCCAGAATTCACTTTTAACTAGAGTTGGCAAAGTACAGACATTCTGTACTTAAATAGAAATACAAATACTACTTTTAAAAAATACTGCAGTATAAGTTGAAGTACTGATTCAACTCTTTACTCAAGTAAAAGTAGAAAGTACCAGCTCTGAATGTACTCATGTAAAAAGTATCTTTTTCTATGTGCAAAGCTAACGAACTGTATGTATAACATAACATCAGTTGATGGGAATACAAACTTTAGGCTAACTTTTTTCTTCTATTATACTTAGCTGAATCTGAGAGTAGGGATAAAAGTAAAAAGTAGTCAGAAAAAAAGAACTACTTAGGTAAAGTACCTCAAAATTGTACTTAAGTAAAGTAAAAAAAACAACAATTTATTGTACTGTACTGTATTTCAGGTGTCACAGTAAGCACGTGGTGGATTTGCGCAAGAGAATCTATGGTGGTCACGACTGTCAAAATGAGCGTCACTATCACGTGAAAGTATTTCACAAAAGGGACAAAACGAAGGTACTGTGCGGCTCACTGATCCATCCACGGTGGGTTTGACTGCAGCTCACTGCCAGGAGAGTGGATGGTGAGAAATCTACAGTTTTTACATAAAGAAAATTCATTAACAAATTGTCCTGCAATGTGTCTTAAAATACTGAGCAAAAATAATTACCAATAATTTTTCATAGCAACAATAAGATATAACACATTCATCATTCTCATATTTAATAGTACAGTCACTATTTCTCTTGTGCAGGACTCTGAGTGTGATTGTTGGAGTTCATCCAGGTCCAGGACAGGTCCAGAAAGTGGCAAAGAAAATGCCCTATAAACAAGGCATCTTTGACACACTGAAGACAGCTGTCTTCAATGTCTTTAGAAAAACATATGGAAGACAAATATCTTTAATAGAAAGCTTGACATCATGCTACTGGAACTTTCTGAGCCACTGGGATTCAGCCTGTAGCCTTACCTGACTGTAACAACCCTCCTAAAATGTGAGTTTTCATGAAATTACTGTGTATTCATCCTTGAGATGCTGATATAAGATGTTTCAGGTTCTTATGTTAATGTTTTGATTTTTTCTACCCAATGATTACCTGTGCCAGATGACTGTTTTATTTGTTTTTTTAATTAAATGTCACAATTTCATATTGGTAATTCTTTAACTTTGTATTGCAGTAGTCAGAATTCCACATACTGTTTTTAACCCAATCACACAACTTCAATAACATTTCTGTATTTTTAGCATATTATTATGAAGTACTGGGTTGGCAGCCTTTTCAGAATTTAGTCTCCCTCTTCTGGGCGACTGGCTTCAGAGTGGTGGACAGTGAAGCAAGGTTAATCTGTTAGTGATGCACGCTGAGCCTAATTTCTAAGTTTCCAGTGTTTCAGGTGGCTCTCTTGTTACCTGGTAAGATCACCATGGAAATATGCTCCTGTTGAGATTATGTTCAGAGTTTTGTGTAAAATGAGCATGAAGCATCAAATTTTCATTAGTTATTTAATTTATAGTATGCTTTAAACATGACATAGATTGTCTGCTGAACTAATAAGTTTTATATAAGCAACTTGTTAAGACATACATTACTAACACCATCATTTAGAAGCAAACAGGTTTGGTTTGAATCTGCTCTGCTTCACACTGCTGGAAATACAGCTAATAGAACACAGATTAGAAAATGTATCAGTAACATTTGTAAACTATTTATCAGCTGTTCAATCTACAAATTTCAATTTGATCTGGAGCCAAATAAAGTGACTTCCTGACCTTCTTTATTAAGCTATGGGCATTGAAAACAGTGAGTGACCTGTTTTAAATGTACGCCGTTTAAAGTTTCAGATCTCCAATTTGTGGCTGTCATGTTAGATTAAAAACAGCAGCACCAATAGCACAGTGATGATCAAATCATAATGTTTCTGCAACTTTTCTTTGATTTGCAACAACAGTGTTGTATTTTGCTGTTATATATTTTTATATTATTTATAGCACACACACACACACACAACCATCTCTAGGGTATACAGAAAGTGGCATGAAAAAGTAAAATATCCAGTGAGTCGCAGTTTTCTGGATGAAAATGCTTCGTCAGTGCCAGATATCAGAATGGCCAGCCTGCTTTGAGTTGATGGGAAGGCAACATCTCGAACACTTAAAATAAAATCGCAGGAAGGTTAAGAGCCTCTGTAACCACATGTATCTTTGTTTTTTGTTTTTTTAAACACCATCTAATATGCTTAACACAACTTAACACATTAGACATAAAGACATAACTCAAAGCAACACTGTAGCAAGATCTGCAACATCTCTTCAACTTTTATTTTGAGTGTATTTTTACATTTTGAGTAGATGTTTGCTGGGTTTCTGCTGACGTCAACCCATTTTTGCGATCATACTAATTTGCCCTGTCTGACTAATGCTGACAGTCTATGGCTGAGAGGATTGCGCCTAATTCATGGATTCTGCATTGCTTGAGAACTGTTTGCTCATCAAGATGACCAAATCCCAAGACTGTAAAAAAACAGCTCTCAATTTGTTCATTCTTGTGTTATAAGCAGACCTTGACTAAAAAATAGTATCTAGTATCTTGTAGCCCATACAAATGGAGCCAAGCCATGAGGCAGTAGCAGGTAAATGACAGTGTGTTGTTAATGCAGCAGAAAGTGTCAGAATTTTCCTTGTGAATCAAACATGTTTATAAGCTTCTTAGTAAAGCTGTGTGGAAGCGACTTGATGACCAGAAAAAAAACATAGTATAGATCATTTTGAGAATAAAGTTGAAATTTTGAGATTTATTAATTTATTTGATGTTTAAAACACATGGATGGACCTGAAATTAATTGATTATTATTTATTGGTCTGTTTCTAGAGGAGACGTCGTTCAGGTTGCAGGACTTGGTGGTATAGGGTAAATGCGACAGGCCACACACGTAAGAAAGTTTTTTGATGAATTATTTCACAGTTTATGCTAGACTTTATTTTGGTTTCTGTGTCTGTTTTACAGTTACATTCACGTTTTATTTGACTACTGTAATATAAACAAAGATTTTAAATTTTATAGTAGATATACTGTATGCCAGGTTCCTTGTTTAAAAATCATTTGGAAACATCCAGAAAAAAGACAAAACATCAATTTCCTCAAGATTTTAGTTTTTGAAAGGTTATGAATGACTTTTGTTCTTTGGCTTTTTTCTCTAGTCGATGACCAACCACCTCATCTCCAGTGTGCAAACATGCATGTTGTTGACTGTGAGCCTACCAGAAACTCTCCATGTTATTCAGATGTGCCGTATAACAACAGGCTGTGTCTGAAAGAACCTTATGTAGATACACGTGGGGTAAGTTGACTGCTAACATCACTGTGTATCATCTCTGTATGTTTTAGATCTTTTGGAAGAAACTTGAACACAAACTATATTTTTCTCTCTCAGGGTGATTCTGGTGGTGGAGTGATTTACAACAACATGATTTATGGTGTATTCAGTGGCAGTGGTGTACGTGCCTGTACTGTACCAGCTGTTACTGTGAATGTTTGTCCTTACATGAAATGGATAAACCAGACAATTTATCCAAAAAGTAATGGAAAATAACTGAATGAAAATAACATCCAGAATAAACAATCATCTCTACATGAAACTTGTGTGCTGTGTGTTGTTTCTGCTCTAGAATATCTTCATGTTAACTGCAAATTGTGAACCTTTTTGTTTGGTCTAAATTATTGTGTTAGATTTGCAGCTTGTGTGTGTTTGAATGTGGTGTCAGGTGTGTAGCAGCTCATCCTGTTGTTCAGAAACTCTCAGACTCACACTGTGAAGATGCAGAAAGGCTTTCTGATCAGACATGCCACCAATCAGCTGCAGGGCCTGAACATGATAAACTTCATAAATCTGAGTTGATTGTTGGGGTGGAAATGTTTACGTGGAGGCTGTTGGCTCATTGGTGGCAGATAAACTTTTCTTTTAATCACTTCACGATACAGGGCATTAAAATAAATACAGTAACTATCAAAATAAGTTTTGTTGATAAAATGCATTTTTTGAAACTGTCCATTGTTTTGTCCCAACTCTAATCACACAACCCCACCCCAAAACAGAACATAAATAATAAAATTATAGTACATATGACATATGTATTTTATATCTCATAATACATTGTTCCATCTTATCTTCAGTCCTGCATTTTATATTCTAAGACCAAAGTGAAACTATTCTTTTAATATCACAAGCTCATGGACACTATTACTCAAACCAATGTCGCGTTACACAAAACTATTCACTCTAATGCTTCTCGCGTAACACTGTCATAACTATTCTCATAACCATAAACTGAGAATGTGTTTCACCTCATCAAAGCTCTATAACATATAGTTTTTAAAAATATATATATTTATATTGCCTACTATCACTGGAGGTTTTTATTTTTAGACCTGTAGAACATTAAAAGAAAATTAATATGAGAATAGATTTCAGGATTTCATCATGATTCATTTTCCATATTAGGCAGCACGTTCAAATTTCCTGGGAAGTAGTGAAAACATTTCAAAGTAGATATCATTAAATGCTAATTAAAACAACGTCTTTTAAATTGCATCAATATTTTCCTACTGAGCAGTAAAAGCACACAGAGCTCTTTTAACGTGAAGCAGCAAAGTGATGTTTAAATATTGTTTATTATTACAATAAGAGACTAAATTAACTTGTTTTGAACTCTTCCGTTTTCTCTTTCAATGCTGCTGTTTGTTTCCTCCTCCACTTGTATTTTTCTTAACGTCAGGGAATGTGCATAGCGCCCTCTGCTGTGTGTTTGAGAGCACTGCACTGCATGGTCATTAAATTAAACTGCCCGGAGGTATAACATGAGCAAAGGAAGCTCATGAAGTGAAGACGTTTCTTGGATAAGAAGTTAAACATCATCCAGAACCTTAAAGAAGTAAAGTCGCTTTCTTTCCAGGCTCCTTAGACAACCATGACCTGGATGACTGAGAACCTACAAACACACATGAGCAGCAGTTTATTTAATGTGGAGGTGAGCAGTGCCCAAAACAACAACCAACAAGTTTTATTGAACCCTACTTCAGCCAATCAGCTGTGTGTGTGTGTGTGTGTGTGTGTGTGTGTGTGTGTGTGTGTGTGTGTGTGTGTGTGTGTGATTATATTGTATGATATTTTAATCGTGCTCTGTTACAATGTTACTGTTTTGGTTGTGCTGCATGAAAGACGTTGAGTGTGTATTAGGGAAGGTTAGTTACCGGAGCTGGAGATGAGTTATTCAGGCAAACTCTCGACAGCATTAACTGTCCTGTTAATGTAAAACCTTAATAAACTACGGTGAAGCAAAATGTCTTGTGCTTAAGACTCTTTTTTTTTTTGTCCCGTTTGGATCTTTAGCCATCAGAATTGTTGTCTTAAGGCCAAGAAAGATGCCAAGCGGATTTATTTTACCAAGTGGATCATCATGGCCTTGCCATATTGGTCCATTTGATTGACCTTTATTATAATTATGTATTTATTTTATTTTTTTCGGTTGCTACAAACGGACAGACATGACTGAGGGATAGGACAGGGAGAAAGAATGAAAGAAAGAGAGGGAGAGAAAGAAAAACAGAGGGGAGAAGAGACGGTGAGAAAGGGGGGAAGAAAGAAAAACAAACAAAACACCTGGATCACCTGTATGGAGAGAAAAAAAAAACAGAAGAGAAAACAAACAAAAAACAAAAAATGATAAATACAGCACCATCACAATAAACTAGCTAGCAGTAGATAACAGTAGATACTAAATATTAAACGCTATTGTGCAGCACGCAAGATAGACAGCGCACAATGTGCTTTGAGGCAGCAGCCAAGAAAGGTGTGTCCGCTCAGTGTAGTGTTGCTGTGTGCTGTTCTAAAGTGCATGCTTTACTAGCTGACTCTACTTTTCCAAGCGATATTTAGAATAGATAACACTCTAATCGAATTTTTAAGTTGTTCCATTCTCCAGGAGAGCATGGTCCTGCTTCCTATCAGAGAGCAGCACGGCTCCTCCCGAAACCCTGTGCTTAAGACGCTACATGAAAGTTACAGTGAAAATTAGAGTATATATGTTCAGTGCAGATAGGCTATAGTGTATATAGTTAGATAGTTATACATATCATACAAAAATCCACCACAAACTATTAACTATTTTTCTTCCTCACTCCCTTTCCTCTTCATCCACTTGCTCTCTCAACCAAACCTGTTTTATTCTCTCTTCATTCATTTTCCTCAGTGAGGAAATGAAAGATGATATCTTCTAGAAGTATCGAACAGACTGTTAGTGAACACAGGCTTGTAATTGTTACTTTTTATTGGCATTAATCACAACAGAGAACAGAGTAAACTTCAGACTAGTTGCGATCAGGTTCTAAACCTGCAACATAAAGTAGAGACCAACACAGCAGTTTACAACAATAAGAGTTTCAGTTCAAGAAAATAACTGAAGATAAAATCTTGGGGATGAAGCACCAAACAGACTTGAACTGCCTTTAGTGACTTTTTACTTGATACATGACCTGAAATATTGATTTGAAATCTCAAACATGATTTCACATCGTCATCGACTTGTCTGAACTTTTCTCAGCTGACCTGATCCAAAACACTGAAACATCATAAGTTCATAAATTCAAACAATGTTTTGGAGTATAACTAACAAAATAGTAAGAGTGCTTAAAAAAAGTGCTGAACTTTTTAGCTCACAATGTCACACAACATCATTGGTCAAAATGATTTATTCTTATGATCCTAAACAGAACAATCAGAGATATAAAGACAAATGGATACACCACTACGAAAAGTCAATAAGAAATTCAACATCAATATTTAACCAGTTCATTTAACCCTTAAAACCGGTCAGAGCGGGCACGCTCGTTTTGCGTAACTATTTTAAAATCCCGGTAGCACTGCAACCACGTGAGCTAGCGTGGTAGCGTGGTAGCGCAATAATTGTTTTTGCATATGAAACCGGAGGAGTTGTACTTACATCTTATGGCATCAGCTTGTCCTAGGTCACAGTTTCCTTCCACATAAAGCTTTGCAAAAACTGCATAAAAAGCACTTGCAGCAAAAAAAACCCATAATATTCCAGAAACAGGCTTTGCCGATCCGATCAGCTGTTCATAACACTTCCTACTCCATCAGCACAAACTATCGCATGTCCGTCATGTCCTGCCCGAAACCGGAAGTGACGTCATTGTCGCGGAAATGTAGTTTTTACCACCAAGGCCTCATGAGCCTATACTGGTGTTTTTAAACGTTATGTTTGACTTTATGACTTTCTCTGTCGTTTCTGGGATGCTTAGGACTCATATTGCACTGCTGGAAATAGTTTATTTTGATGCATATGCTGCTTTTTTGCAAATTTGCACTATAATATTTATTTTCGTTCTTCCTGCAGTGTATAGAAATTGGTGTATTTCAAAAATAAAACTATGAAGACACTCAAAATAAATTTCCTGTGGTGGGAAACTTGTTTGTGCAACTTTTTTGTATTTACAGTTTTGAGGGATAAGCCTCTTAAATTTCTCTAACTAGAAATATATGTTAAAAAACAAAAACGATTTTCAATTTTTTTGTAGTTTATTGCAATTTTTTGCAATTTATGTAATTACTATGCACTTAATGCATGCATATTATTAACATTTAGGCTGTAATGGTTGTGTTGATGTATAGCAACTTGAAATGCTCCCAAAAATGGCACTACAACATGTAAAAATATAATATAAGCTCTGGCAGACTTGGTTCTGTGGTAGGTCTTAAAGGGTTAAACACTTCATTCTGCCCAGACTGAAGGGGACACTTAGGTTACGTTCACACTGCAGGTCTTAATGCTCAATTCCGATTTTTGATCAAATCCGATTTTTTTGTCTGCGTGTTCACACTACAAATAAAATGCGACAGCAAACGCGCTCTAGTGTGAACGCTAAAAGCGGCCCGCATGCGCAAAAGAAGACGTCACACACAACGCACTCCGGTTATACCCTGAGCAAACAATATTGTTTGACTGATGGCCGTTAATATAAAGACTTCCGACTTTACGTTTCCCAATTTTTGCTTTAAGTTATTTTGTTATTTACATAATAATGTAAATAACCTAATAATTATCCTTATTGCTGTTTTAGAGGAGCGGTGCTTCAAAGGATAGTTGCAGATTTCTGTCAGAATCTACAGATTATACAGTACAAATAAAATGTTCACGTTTCTCCAACGTTGTCTTCCCAACAGTTTCACTAACATCTACACTGGACCAGGAAGCGTTCGCAATGTCTTATCGGCGCTTCTCCGACGCTGATAATTGGCG